AGTGTGTGCATAATACATATTTGTACATACACTCGGACGTCTTTCATCCGGGCACCTCGGAACCGGGCACTGCCCGTATCTCAGGACAACTCGTCTACCATGTATCATAATCATTTTTTGAAGAAGTTTATTTGGAAGGTATTGCACATGTTCAAGATACAAAAGGAACCCATTGATAAAAATGTGTGGATTACATAGGTTGGCAGTGAAAAATAAGCACTTCCACATACGGAAAATTTCCAAACCCCAAAGTCCGAAGCTGAAGCTGAAGGTGCCCGGCAGAGACATGCCCGTATCTGAGGCATCCGGATAAGAGGCGTTTGAGTGTACATGTAATTATACCAGCAGCTGTACTGAGCATGAAATTACAGCGTAAACCAGTAACAGTTTATCACTCTTCTATATCGCCCTCCACTAATTCTTGTGACCCTTGACTGGTCCCGTATTACCCTTACCGCCGTAGTATCGCCGTAATATCGACCGCTTGTATCGACTGTTTTTTGAAACGTCTTTGTCGTTTACAATGTGAGTCTTCTGGTAGCGAATATTCCGTTATGAAGAGTCTGCTGCATGCCCGTCTCTCTTTCTCCTTACTTAGATCCACTATTCTTTGTATCCGTGGTGCTCGTTCTCGTCGGGGTTTCCCCGTCCAACGTTTTGTGGATAGTCCGTTGTGGTGGCTGAGTCTCGCCTTGTTACGTAATTTTCTGATCTTCTATACTGTGTTTATTTGTTTATACAAAAGAGAAAGGACAAGTTACGCTATACTGTCCACTAACACCACCAGATACTAAACAATCAGCTCATGCGATAACATTGCACGACACTGACCGACGGTACTGAGCTGATTGTTCAGTAACTGGTGGTGTTAGGGGACAGTATAGCGTACCTTGTAGTTCCTTGGTCCTTTCTCTTTTGCATAAATTAATCCTTGCCTCTCCATCCGAGTGTTTATTTGACACCATCAGAAGTACGAAATCTGTTCACTGCAATAGATGGGGTGGTTTGGCTCCTCGTACAACTAGTAAGACTATTGGACCCACCGGCCTTACTACAACTCGACGACGCAAAGCAACAGACCACCCAACTTGGGAGGCTCAGTTTTATGTAATAAATGTAGAAAGGGGCAGCTAAGCGAAGACGAATTGTGACAAACCGAAACGTCAGCATCCTACTGAACTCCACTATCATGTAAATATGATGGACTAGTTATGTACAATAACAAGTAGTTCCACACGTTTCGTCATCATCCAGTAACTTTCGGCATTCTTTGTCGCCGTGGCGCGTAGCTCATGGTCTTCTTCGTTGCGCTTTCCTTCCCCTCTTGGACCTTTCCGAACCTGAGCCTTCCAAGTTGGAAGGTTGTTGGTTTGCGCCTTGGAGAAGTGTTGGAGCTAGGTGTCAGGTCGTCGAATGTCTCAGTACTCCTTGCCAGTTCGGTGCCATTTTGTCGCACTCGCTGACTGTGTAAGATCTGGTTACGTTGGTGGACAGTTTGTCATAACTCGTAACATTTTGTCCTTTTCCTGTCTTCATCATAGTTATAATATTATTGGCTCACCATCCGAGTTCAACTTTGCACACATGATGAGCCGTCATGACCTACTGTAGAACGGGTAATTTTAGCGTTTCCCCATTGTCAACCGGTTAGCGACGTTTTATTTTAGCGATTTCCAGCGATTTTACTCACGGATCACCAGTGCACTACTGCCTCAACGGATTAGCGACTTGAAACTTTAGCGAAAAGGAGTCGATCGCTAAATTCGCTAGGGTTTTTACGTCGCTAAAATTACCCGTTCTACAGTATACGGCGAAACGTACGTCGTGTGGAACTACTTGTTATTGTACATAACTAGTCCATCATATTTACATGATAGTGGAGTTCAGTACGATGTTGACATGGTCTTTCTTGTCCCTCACCTTGGAGATGTAATCTGAGGAGCTAGTTTGGCGGTCTGGAAGCTGTCATCAGGGATCGCCTCATCCCAGCCCTTACTGGTCGCCTCCCTCCGCCCAGTGTGGAGCGGCTTATGCTCTCGTTCCCTTGTCGGGATGGCGGTTTGGGTCTCTCGATTCCCACTGCCCAGTCTCGCCACTATTCCCACTCTCGAGCTGTTACTAACAAGCTCAGGGAGAGGATTCGCTAGATCATGTTGTGGCAGACGCTACCAAGACCGCCAAACGTCAAGTCCGCACTGCAGCTCGGGCATCACAGCAACAGCTGAAGGAGGAGTTTGTGAGTGGTGAAGGTGCGGTACATGCGGCTCAGCTTGAGCTTGCTTCCGAGCGTGGTAGCTCTGCTTGGCTGACGTCACGTCCTCTATCCTGCCATGGCTTTCGTCTCTCTAAGTCTGAGTTTAGAGATGCCCTGTGTTTGCGCTATGGCTGGGTGCCGGAGCGTTTGCCGTCATCCTGCATTTGTGGCAACGCACTTCGACGCCTCCCACGCGTTATCCTGCTCGACCGGTGGATTTCCGTCTTTGACTCAATGAAATCCGTGATGTCACCGCCGACCTCATTCGCCAGGTGGCTCACTCGGTATCCGTGGAACCTCCACTGCAACCGCTCTCTGGTGAGCAGTTCAGCCTCCGGTTTGCGTCCTTAGAGGACAATGCTCGCCTCAACATCACTGCCAGTGGGCTATGGGGTGGCCGGTTCGAACGCACAATGTTTGATATATGGGTTTTCAACCCCTATGCTGCCTCAACCCCCGTTGTGTAGAGTAGAACCCGGGTTAGGGATCCACCTAACTCTGCGCGGACATAGCTGGACTCAGTTGTACAGGGATGGGCAAAAAGGTGTGCAAAACGACTTTTTGTGAGTAGATGGACCCCGGAAAAATACTGAGTTTGGAGCGAAAAAAAGTTACGGCTTCCTCGGAAACCGACGGGCCCTTGGGCCGGAAATTAAATCCCGGTATAAGGATCACCCGCACAATACATGCCAAGTGATCCCCCCCCCCCCCCCCCCCCCCCCCCGGGCTCCGAAGGATCACCCGCACAATGTACGTGCCAAGTGCCCCCCCCCCCCCCGGGCTCCGGTCCCTAATCCGGTGTGACCCTTAACCCGGGTTCTACTCTATGCCCGCCATGAACGCGAGAAGAGAAGAAGATATGAGGAGAGGACTCGGGAAGTCGAGAGGGTCTCCTTCGTGCCAGTCGTCATGTCGGCCAGTGATGGTGCTGGGAAAGCCGCCACAGTTTTGTACAAGCGCTTGGCAGTTCTTATCTCTGAAAAGAGAAATGACCAGTATTCTGCTACCATGGCGTAGATTCGCACTCAGCCGTGCTTTGCGCTGCCGCGTACGGTCCAACATCATGTGTTTGCACCGTGCCAGATCCTCTAAGTCCCGTTAACTCCAGCGAGATCCAGTTGCGGTTGTCGTTGCGGAGGCACGCCTGTGGCCTGAGGCATCTGACCGTAACATTATTTTGAAAGTGAGTTGCTTGGACTGAGTTTCACTTGTTTTAATACTTCAAAAATAATATTACATATATGAAATTAATAGTGCATTAAGCGGGATTCACAGAAGCTTTTTTGCGATGCGACACGCGATGCGACGCGATCTGCGACGGACGCGTGCGATGCGAACTCGCGAAATACCATTCACAGAAGAAGTCAGTGATGCGACAAAATCTTGCTGATTTGGCTACGTCACCATGATATTGGCGCGGTTTGATACAACTTGTACAAATTTATAGGCAACTCTTGAACCTTTGTACAACTTTGCTGTAGAAAAGGTCAAAATCGTACACCAAATCGCTTGTCGCATCGCATCGCATCGCAAAAGTTGAGCCAAGCTCAACTAACTTCTGCGATGGCCTGCGATGGCCCAGTTGCGGCAGTTGCGTGGGGTGCGACATGGCTGCGATTTGGGGTTTTCCCGGTTTTGCGCCTGTCGCATCGCGTGTCGCATCGCAAAAAAGCTTCTGTGAATCCCGCTTTAAGCCCGATTCACAATACAACTTTCTGCGACGCGACACGCGATTTGGGACAGTTGCGACAAGAAACTGCCTGTCGCGAGCTGTCGCAACCTGTCGCAAGCTGTCGCAATGCACCTGTCGCAGAAGTTGAAGAAAGTTCAACTTTTGCGACATGCGACACGCGACATACACAAATGGAGTACAGTTTCGACCCTGGGTGCACGTGCAGTGCACGTGCATAGTACTACTTGTGCATGAGGATGTCGCAAACATGAAGAATATTGTGAACCGTGTGTCGCTGTCGCAGCTCGTCGCATGTGTCGCAAGTCGCATGTCGCGTCGCAGAAAGTTGTATTGTGAATCGGCCTTAAAGCGGGATTCACAGAAGCATTTTTGCGATGCGACACGCGATGCGACACGCGATGCGACAGACGCGAAACCGGGAAAACCCCAAATCGCAGCCATGTCGCACCCCACGCAACTGCCGCAACTGGGCCATCGCAGGCCATCGCAGAAGTTGAGCTTGGCTCAACTTTTGCGATGCGATGCGATGCGACAAGCGATTTGGTGTACGATTTTGACCTTTTCAACAGCAAAGTTGTACAAAGGTGCAAGAGTTGCCTATAAATTTTTACAAGTTGTGTCAAACCGCGCGAATATCATGGTGACGTACCCAAATCAGCAAAACTTTGTCGCATCGCTGACTTCTTCTGTGAATGGTATTTCGCGAGTTCGCATCGCACGCATCCATCGCAGATCGCGTCGCATCGCGTGTCGCATCGCAAAAAAGCTTCTGTGAATCCCGCTTTATAGTTACTACGCAGTACTCTAGGCTGTGCATGCTAGCTACATAATCATACTTGAAGTACAGTAAATAACTAAAAAAATGTCTCACCCATTCTTGTTACTGACTGGTAGATCTACATACTACTTCGTACTGGATTGTAAAAATAATCACATCGATCATGTAGGTTTTTTTGGCGCGTTTTGCTTTCGTTTATATTTAAATAGCATTCTTGTAAAAAATTCAAAAAAAGTGTGGCAAGAGTACATAATTATATAACCCAAACCAAAAAAATAAAGCTCTGTTATTATGATTTACAACAGTGAGTGGTATTCTGATTTACAATGCCAGAAGAATAGCTAGTAGACTAGTGTTGTGCCCAATTGGTGTTGTGAATAAAACCGTTCTCAAGTACTTGAAGTACTACCACTGGTCCAGTAGTGCTCGACGATTGTCAACCAGAAGGAAATTATTTGAATGATGGACACTGAATTTTGCATCTCCATTCCCAGCGCAGGAGGCTATGAAAAGCTGGTCCAATCTCCCCTGGCAGGCAACGACAGCAGCACTGGTGCCCAGACTCGCTTGTACAACATCCCCGACGATGAGCATGTTGTCGTCGCTGTGTCAGCGTTGGGAGTCAATTACGCGGATGTGTGCATTCGCTGGGGTTACTATGAGTCTGCGAAGGAATACGTAGGCTGGCCCATCACGCCAGGATTTGAGTTCAGCGGCAAGGTACAGACTAGACTGGATGTACATGCTTATTCGTAATCGGAGTTGGACAGGCACGTGCACGCACACACACGCACACACACACACACACACACACACACCTTGGACCTTGGACGCGCTGCCATATTCTGGCTATGCGGACCCCATGGGGGGTTGAGCAGCTTCGGAACAGTAGGGGCGATGACGGGATAGGTCCTGTGGTCTACTGAAACGCCGACCGCAATTGCAAACGATGCAGAAGGAGCTACGGTCTGCACACACACACACACCATGTACCATGTATACGCCCGTCGCAAGAGAAGCACGCAAATCTGCAAATGCACTGGATGTGCACCCACAGATGTACACACACACACACACACACACACACACACACACACACGCCACAATGTGCCATGTACGCCCGTCGTGTGTACCCACCCCCAATCAACGGTACACCTGGTCCACACCCACACCGCACAGAGTACATCTACAGCGCTAGCGGAATGGCCAAGACAGTTACCAGGCGCGTTATACCCATAGCCCGCATGGGGTACTGGGGGGGGGGGGCATGTGCACCCCCCCCCCCCCCCCCTCCTAAAAATTTCGACCTAGATTCAACATGCGCACAGTGATCATGAATGACATGCACCAGCCATCCTGCACATATGCGGCTGTGCAGCCCCCCCCCCCACCCCCCCCTAAAAGGGGGACTAGCTACGCCCCTGGTTACGTAAGGACAGCCTACACTTGCTGAGGTAACCAGCTGATTCGATAGAAGCAGACACTAGATCCACTTCTACAAGTACACCTGGAAGTGAAATGTGTGTTCCTTAAGCCAATAGACATATCAACAACTTCAGCCATGAAAGCTAAATAGTAACGACACACTGGATTATAGAGCGGAAACTAGTCCAACTCCCAAAATTCTTCTTTGGCGAGAAGACAGCCTTCATGCACACACCAAAAGACCCACACACACACAGCCCCACACACATTCACTGGCACACACACACACACGTGCACACACGCGCGCGCGCGCGCGCGCACACACACACACCACACTAACGCTGTCATTCATTAAGCAAAGGCTCTTCTTCTTGCCTGACCGTCTGGTTCTCAGATTGTGGAGGTGGGCACAAACTGCAGTGATCTCCGTATCGGGGATGAAGTGTTTGGTGTCACCTTGTTCGGTGCGTACTCCACACGCTTGCGAGTTCCTGCACGCTACGTGTTCAAACGGCCCGACTACTTGAGTATGCAGCAAGCGGCCTCTTTCCCGTGTGTCGGCCTGACCGCCTACTATGCTGTTCACGAGCTGGTCCATCCGCGACCGGGCGCATCCGTTCTCGTTCACTCAGGTATGCGCGTGCAGGCGTGTTGTTCCACAGTTTTATTTACTGATCTGCTGCTCATCCATATCATGTCAATGTTTGATGCACGACAGTCAGCAATATGCTTGAACACTTGATGCGGGGCTGTCACACATGCACGCACACGCACGCACACATACACGCACGCGCCACACACACACACACACACACACACACACACACACACACACGTGTTGCTCACTGCCAAAACTGTGTCACGTGGGTCTCCCCAAGAGAGGGGAGAGAGACTCTAAAGGAATCTTGGAAAGATGGCTCGATTGGCTATTGAACCACCCAACGGCCGACACCCCCTGAAATCCCCAAAACTCTGGGTGGATTTGAAAATGATGCCACTTATGGGCTCGCCACACATCAGTACGTCGGTGAGGACAAGGTGCAGAAAAGGATTGACGGCATCAGGGTATCCGTCCCGGGATCCAACTGCGGTTACCCCTGCCCCCCCCCCCCCCCCCCCCCAGTGAAGGTAACACTTGCTACTACTGCGGGTGGCTAAATCAGAGTGGATCTGATATAAGTATATGAACCCTGGAACCAACAAAGTTGGCAGGTACAGCATTACACCTTCAAGCAGCCGAGCCCGTTGGCAACAGATCCAACGCAATCAGGCATAAGTGCGCCCACCAACCGAACTAGCTGGCAACACACACGCACACACACACGCACACCATGTACCACACATGCACGCACACACGCAGACGCACACACACACACACACACACACACCATGTACCACACATGCACACACGCACGTGCACACACACACACACACACACACACACACACAAGTTGCTTACTTGTTGTAGTGCGTTGTGGAACGGATTTATTCACACAGCTAATTGTGTGAAGCTATGAAGTGAGAATCAAGATGTAAAGAACCCAGATCAGGCACTGAATAAAGTATTGTTTAAATGTGCGAAACAGTGGTAGCGACTTCGGCGATGATTGTTAGGAAAGAGTTTGCTGCCCACACTGGAGCTCGCGCTATTCCCCCGACTTGACTTGACACTTGATTTTAATGTGGCACTCAATGTGGCACTCAATGGTCCTTATGCACGTTGTACAGATGTACGAAGTTCTGTGCTAGGGCCATAGGTGTGTACATACCCGGTTGGGTGTTCATTGTGTGCTATGCATGCGCATTTGACCAATTTGGCCTCGTACTTAATTGCAAACCATCGCTTTTCCAGCTTCTTCACTTTGGATAGAACACATGGCTAGCTAGATCTTTGTCGGAAAAAGTATGAAATGCCTTCAGGGCGCATTTCGTAGTGAAGAAGATTGCAGTAAACACAATAGGGTCCTACACATTCAACACCCAACTGGGTCTAGGGATTCTACGAGATCCTACGAGATTCTACGGGATTTCGTGCATCTGTACAACGTGCATAAAGGTTATATGGCAATCAGTTGAAGTGCAGGAATCGATTTTTTTGTTGCAGGAGAGCAAACTAAGTTAGCACCCGAAGCTCAGAAGCCACTGGAAAATTCGACGAGGCTTTTCGCACCGTTGTTCTTCAAAAAAGTCGTTATAATTGTGATACAATCAGTAGCAAACAGGTCCTCATATCTACAAGCTCGTAGCTTTCTAGGTGGTCTGCGCAGTGACAAAATTACTCTGACACGTAAGAGAGTGCCAGTGATACCAACTATATACAGTAACCCTCTTATTTTAATATAGCTACAAGGAGAACTAATTACTAGTATACTGTAAGCATTTCCTATATGTCGACATGTATGTGTGAACTGTTTTACGATGATCGCAAGGCACACAACGAAAGGGAAAGAGAGGATTTGTTCAGAACTGTTTTCTTGTTACCGGTACATTCATCAGTGAATCTACGTAACAATGGAATGGGGACTGCTTGAAACTAAAGGAAATGCTTCCAGTACAATTACCGTACTCACTTTTTTTAATACCAATTTTGACAGGCTTCTATTCAAGAGGGGCTTTTATTGTTTCATTCCATACCAGTATCCCAATCGAATCTCTAAAACTTTCATATTCACAGCAACTCGGCCCCGAGTTAGGTGGCACACACTACGTCGACGAGGACATGTACCAATATGTGCATGCACGAGCTGTTTTTGCGCTCTTGACCTTAACATTATATGGCACTGCCTGGTCACTCTATGCTTCGCGAATAGTAGTCCGGGGCGTAAAATAGAGAGGGGCTTGTATTTTTTCAAACAGTCCTTGTAGGGGGGGGGGCTATTATTCAAGAGGAGCTTTTATTCGAGAGGGGCTTCTAATCGCGTGAGTACGGTAGTCCTCCTTGTAGCTATTAAAACTGCTGTCTCCGAAACGCTTGTTTACCCCTAATTTTAGCGAACATAAACCTTAGCGAATTTAGCGATTCAGTCAAATTCACTTAAGCTAGGGCTCGCGAATCACCGATTTAAAAAAATTACTTGTGTGGTTTCAGCGCTTCTTGTTACTAGTATTAAGCCAGGTGCCATTCTGTGCCATGTTTTCCCGTGTGCGTTTCAGCTGCCGGTGGTGTTGGAAGCATGCTGGTGCAGATTTGCAAGCTGGCAAAGTGCCGGGTGGTCGGCGTCGTCGGCTCATCCCACAAGGTCGAGGCCGCCAGGGAGCTCGGCTGCGATGACGTCATTGACAAGAGCAAGGAAGACCTGTGGTTGCGGTGTCGCCAGATTGAGCCGAGCGGCTTCAAGGTACAGTAAAACCGGGAATTTTTGCTGGTGTCATATTTTCGGTGTTTCCCAAAATCAACGGTTCGGTAGCGCGAAATTTCGGTAAACCAATTTTCCAGATCCAAAAAATGCATTTTTTGCTCACGGTTTTTTGCACACGGTGTGGCATGGCATGGTTGAATTTTAGATCCCATTTTATTTTAGGTAAAAACTACCTGTACCGAAGTTACCGAAAATAAATCTCCACCGAAATTTTCCAGTTTTACAGTAATCGACCGCTTTAATAGAGTGGTTTCGCGTCTGTCACGTGATCACTTGGAGCAGCCATGTTGGTTCCAACTCCACTTAACTGCTTTTGTATCTATGGGTCACGTGATGTCGGCCATGTTGGTTCCACTGCTCACATGACATGATCACTTTCTACACAAATTTAGTCACATGACATGGTCACTTTCTGCACAAATGACACATGACAAAGATGCGAAAGCACTCTGTTGACGATGTGCCAGTGGCAGCGGAGTCAGCTGCGCACCACCATAAGAATGTGGCCATTACGGTGGTGGTTTGTTGGTCAGTGTGTTTGTAGGGGACGGTGATGGTGTGTTGGTCAGTGTGTTTGTAGAGGACGGTGATGGTGTGTAGGTCAGTGTGTCTGTAGAGGACGGTGATGGTGTGTTGGCCAGTGTGTTTGTAGAGGACGGTGATGGTGTGTAGGTCAGTGTGTCTGTAGAGGACGGTGGTGGTGTGTAGGTCAGTGTGTCTGTAGAGGACGGTGATGGTGTGTTGGCCAGTGTGTTTGTAGAGGACGGTGATGGTGTGTTGGCCAGTGTGTTTGTAGAGGACGGTGATGGTGTGTTGGTCAGTGTGTCTGTAGAGGACGGTGATGGTGTGTTGGTCAGTGTGTCTGTAGAGGACGGTGATGGTGTGTTGGTCAGTGTGTCTGTAGAGGACGGTGATGGTGTGTTGGTCAGTGTGTTTGTAGAGGACGGTGATGGTGTGTTGGTCAGTGTGTCTGTAGAGGACGGTGATGGCGTGTTGGTCATTGTGTCTGTAGAGGACGGTGATGGTGTGTTGGTCAGTGTGTTGGTAGAGGACGGTGATGGTGTGTAGGTCAGTGTGTCTGTAGAGGACGGTGATGGTGTGTAGGTCAGTGTGTCTGTAGAGGACGGTGATGGCGTGTTGGTCAGTGTGTTTGTAGAGGACGGTGATGGTGTGTTGGTCAGTGTGTCTGTAGAGGACGGTGATGGTGTGTTGGTCAGTGTGTCTGTAGAGGACGGTGATGGTGTGTTGGCCAGTGTGTTTGTAGAGGACGGTGATGGTGTGTTGGCCAGTGTGTTTGTAGAGGACGGTGATGGTGTGTTGGTCAGTGTGTCTGTAGAGGACGGTGATGATGTGTAGGCCAGTGTGTCTGTAGAGGACGGTGATGGCGTGTTGGTCAGTGTTTCTGTAGAGGACGGTGATGGTGTGTTGGCCAGTGTGTTTGTAGAGGACGGTGATGGTGTGTTGGTCAGTGTGTCTGTAGAGGACGGTGATGGTGTGTTGGTCAGTGTGTCTGTAGAGGACGGTGATGGTGTGTTGGTCAGTGTGTCTGTAGAGGACGGTGATGGTGTGTTGGTCAGTGTGTTTGTAGAGGACGGTGATGGTGTGTTGGTCAGTGTGTCTGTAGAGGACGGTGATGGCGTGTTGGTCATTGTGTCTGTAGAGGACGGTGATGGTGTGTTGGTCAGTGTGTTTGTAGAGGACGGTGATGGTGTGTAGGTCAGTGTGTCTGTAGAGGACGGTGATGGTGTGTAGGTCAGTGTGTCTGTAGAGGACGGTGATGGCGTGTTGGTCAGTGTGTTTGTAGAGGACGGTGATGGTGTGTTGGTCAGTGTGTCTGTAGAGGACGGTGATGGTGTGTTGGTCAGTGTGTCTGTAGAGGACGGTGATGGTGTGTTGGCCAGTGTGTTTGTAGAGGACGGTGATGGTGTGTTGGCCAGTGTGTTTGTAGAGGACGGTGATGGTGTGTTGGTCAGTGTGTCTGTAGAGGACGGTGATGGTGTGTAGGCCAGTGTGTCTGTAGAGGACGGTGATGGCGTGTTGGTCAGTGTTTCTGTAGAGGACGGTGATGGTGTGTTGGTCAGTGTGTTTGTAGAGGACGGTGATGGTGTGTAGGTCAGTGTGTCTGTAGAGGACGGTGATGGTGTGTAGGTCAGTGTGTCTGTAGAGGACGGTGGTGGTGTGTAGGTCAGTGTGTCTGTAGAGGACGGTGATGGTGTGTTGGTCAGTGTGTCTGTAGAGGACGGTGATGGTGTGTTGGTCAGTGTGTTTGTAGAGGACGGTGGTGGTGTGTAGGTCAGTGTGTCTGTAGAGGACGGTGATGGTGTGTTGGTCAGTGTGTTTGTAGAGGACGGTGATGGTGTGTAGGTCAGTGTGTCTGTAGAGGACGGTGGTGGTGTGTAGGTCAGTGTGTCTGTAGAGGACGGTGATGGTGTGTTGGCCAGTGTGTTTGTAGAGGACGGTGATGGTGTGTTGGCCAGTGTGTTTGTAGAGGACGGTGATGGTGTGTTGGCCAGTGTGTTTGTAGAGGACGGTGATGGTGTGTTGGTCAGTGTGTCTGTAGAGGACGGTGATGGTGTGTTGGTCAGTGTGTCTGTAGAGGACGGTGATGGTGTGTTGGTCAGTGTGTTTGTAGAGGACGGTGATGGTGTGTTGGTCAGTGTGTCTGTAGAGGACGGTGGTGGTGCTCACAGATTGCAGCCACTCCTCCAGGCCGGTGCAGTGTTAACTTAGGTACATTGCTGGAGAAATCCAACCTCATGAATAAAGTAGCGCCGCGTTCGAGTGCACAGACCAGTTCCGTAGTGTCGCATATATACTATAAAGAAGAGGCACCTGTGACGTGTGTTTGTCTGTGTGTTACGCAGAAGCGCTGCGGAGCAGCGCTGCCCTGAGCACGCGAAGCGTGCGAACAGTGTAGCTAGCGGCCGCAGAAGCACTGAGCACGCTTCGCGTGCGAATCGTGTAGCTAGCGGAAGCAGCCACAGAAGCAGCCACAGAAGCACTGAGCACGCGAAGCGTGCGAATCGTGTAGCCACCACCACGTGCTGAGCACGTGTGCTGTTCATGTACTTGCTTCACCCGCATGCCACGTTCGGCCAGGCAACGCTGGCCGGGTGCTGCTAGTAACCTATATAGAAGCATGACTCGAATAGAAGCCGATTTTTCAAAGCGCCCTGTGACACAGAAGCACGATTTGAATAGAAGCCGCCCTGAGCTCTCTGCAAAGTAGCCGTGCCAGAACTACATCTAGTACAGTGTATGGGACAGTACACACTGCCACAGTGTGCACTGTGGCAGTACACACTGCACAGTGCACACTGATGATGGTGACGTAGAAGTAAGAGTACATAACCCCCCAGAGTGTGCAACTCCCACATACCCTGCTGTCCCGACAGAATTTCAAGTTGACGTCATTATTTATGACGCAATGCTCCTTGTACTAGTGATTTACAACATGTGTACGGGTGTCAACGCATCACACATTTTTCTTTGCAATAATTTGTACAGGATCGATCTGCTTCGATCAACCACAGGTTCCGGATTCGTCTGGTAATCCGTGTACAGTGCGCATTGCATCATCAAAATGACGTCAACTTGAAATTCTGTCGGGACAGCACCCATAGTGGAGTTGCACACTCTGGGGGGTTATGTACTCTTGGTAGAAGCATACTGTAAAAGCAGAAATTTTCGGTAGTGTTTTATTTTCGGTAACTTCGGTGCCGACAATTTTTACCGATAATAAAACGCACCGAAAACTTCGGTACAACCGATTCTGTATACATGTAGTACTAGTACACTTACCTGGAGAACGGGTTTTACCGAAAATTTCCCTCTGCCGAACCGCCGATTTTGGAGAATACCGAAAATATTACACCACCGAAAATTTCTGCTTTTACAGTGGCTTGAATAGAAGCCTGGTTTGAACCCCGGCTTAGGCGGCCGTACGCACCTGCTTATATACACGTACGCGACATTACGGTATGTGTAGTGCTAGGGCTGCGTGGCGCCCGGCAATGCTATTTTATTCATGAAGTTGGATTTCTTTGCCCCCACTGTACAGTACAGGGCAGACCTCGCTTTAACGTAATCTCTGGGGATGGGAAAAATTATGTTATAGCGACGTCTGTGTTATAGGGAGTTGGGCATACCAATAATGTATGTCAAAATGACGCTCTTCACTTACAACTGTACAGTTTTACATACAGGTATGATGATGTAAACTAGCAAAGAGTGGTACAGGCTTGTCAGCAAAGGGGTGACAAGAGTCATGCAGTGCGTGTACATGTACATGTGACATGATTTATAGAGGTAAGATACACACAGATGTAGTAGTCAGCATCAGGTCAGTACTACATTGTAGCAAGTACGTTGACGTGTAGGAGGTCGAAGTATAGTAATTATTGACCCCAAGCAGGGAGAATTCCGGTCTTTTACTACTCCCTGCTTCCGAGGTGAACAGCTCAGCCTCGAACTCGTCGCGAGAAGCGCATGCATGCCGTGTACGTAAGTCATCTGTAGACGACTGTTTATGTTATGCTGATGTCTCCGTGCGCCCGGGACCCAGCAAACAGTGCGTTATAGCGAAAATTACGCCATAGCGGATTATGTTATAGCGAGGAAATTTTGTACAGAAGTGATGCGGTTTCGGCAGGGACATTCACATTTAGTACGTTAAAGTGAGGTTTATGTTATAGCGGGGTCGTTATAGTGAGGTTTATGGTATAGCGGGGTCGTTATAGTGAGGTTTATGTTATAGCGGGGGTCGTTATAGTGAGGTTTATGTTATAGCAGGGTCGTTATAGTGAGGTTTATGTTATAGCGGGGGTCGTTATAGTGAGGTTTATGTTGTAGCGGGGTTTGACCTGTACAGTGTCCACGGAAAACGTCGGTCTCTTCCGCATTTGGACGCGAAGGGCTAGTTGGGAGGATGGGGAGCGGGGCCGCCGTGATTGCTCTTCCTATCCCAGTCATTCCACTTTGGGGGGGGGGGGGGTGGAGGAGGAAAGGTTATCGCAGTCATTTCACTTCGGGGGGGGGGGGGGGGGGTATGGAGGAAGGGTTATCCAGGTTACCTTTCCAGATCATGATTGTCCAACATGACACCGAGGTAACCAAGGTAACGAGATAATATACGGTCAGGTCGTCGAATATCTCAGTATCCTTGTAAGTGTTATGCCTTGTTGCCGCACTATCTGACTCTATATTATCTCGTTACCTTGGTTACCTTGGAGGACTGTTAGTCATAACTAGTAACTTATACATATACACAGAAGCCTTGCTTGGTAGTTTAACATGTTTTTCGATTTTGACAGCATCAACAACAACAACAACAACTACAACAACGTCCATCAACACCCAGACCACAACACCAACGTGCAGACGGGGTGTTCCGACGGGGTGAAGGCCTACCCATGGCCTCGTCGGAACATCACCAACCTCATCGGCAGCGAGCACCTTCTCACAACAGTTGTCATGGTGATGACTATGACTGTTACAGCTGACGAGCTGAGAGAAGGATGCCATGGGCAGAAGTTAAAAAAAGACAAAAAAGAAAAGAACAAAAGATAAAAGAAAGATGAATGACAAATCACAGAGAAAGACAAGAAAAGAACATCACAATCACAAATCTTTTCCTTTCTACAACACAAAAATAGAAAATTTTCTGAATCCCACCAACCCCTAGAGTAATGAGGGTCCGAACCTGGGTTTTCCCAATACGGTTCAAATGGTCGCAAGACCGGGACTCTGCCAACCGGGTTATGGTTGTAGTCAGGAGCACTACGCGTCCTCGCCTTGTAACATGCTGTCAAAATCGAAAAACATGTTAACTTATACATGTAGGTCCTTTTCTCTTTACATTATCACTATTGGCTCAACATCCGAGTCGTTTTATTGTTTTGCCTTTCTCTCTCTTTGCCTGCATGGGTCTTTGCGACTAATTTTGGCCCGATGTGCAGGTGATATTTGATGCAAATGGCTCCACGATTGGCAAGAGCTACGAGAACATTCAGCCAGGTGGAAAGCTGGTTGTGTATGGTACGTATTCCAAATAGCAGCATTCCAAGTAGCAGCATTCCAAGCACAGTAAAACCTGGTGTAAGCGACCTCTGTGTTTAGCGACCGCCTGCTTTTAACGACCGTTTTTCACATGCATGGACAGTTCTACACGGAAACTGCACTGGATACAGCGACCACCTGCCTTGCGCGGCCGGCGGCCGACTTTTAGGGTACCAAGTGCCATATTGGACCTGCACACAGTGACCAAAACTAACCAAAAGTGCCGGCTTGGCTGTCAGGTTTGACAGCAACAGGGTTGAAGTGCGCTCTGATTCATGTGCATGCAGTCAACAGAAGTGACAAGGGACAGTGCAGGATTCACTGAACGCACTGGAGTGAGGCTGCTTTGCTGCAGAAAGTATTCTATGTTCCACACCTGTCAATATGAGTACATGGAAGTACAATCATGCACATGTATGTACACAATCCGATATGTCACGAATGCATGGGACCTGGTTCCAAAGACCACCTGGCTTTAACGACCGCATGTGCTTGCACCGTGGGGTGGTCGCTTAAACCAGGTTTTACTGTAGCAGTATTCCAAGTGGCAGGTGTGGTACGTGCCAGTGGCAGTGTTCCAGGTAAGGGTGCGTTCAGACTACCGATAAAGAGTGGCGGAATGGGAAAGTTTCCAAGGTGATTTGATCACATGACATTACAGCAGGGAATAATTTAACCGGTATCGCATCGCACTTTGCTACGCAATTCTTCTGAGGTGCGAAGCAACTTCAGAAACGTGTCGCAGAAAACTGCGATGCATACCGGTATGCATGTTGATTTTCCACTGTACCCTATGATGCACAGTGTACATGCCAGGTGGGTCTCTTAGGGATGAAATAGATGCACAAAGCTTCGAAAGTGTTGAGCTATGCACCCGGGCACCAGGTTAGGTTTGCAACTAAGTTACTACAGTACAGTGTGCGTGTGGTCTGATCAGCTCTACAGAAGGACGATGTTGTCAAGTGTTAAAGAAAATTGCTATGCAACATTTTCGAATTGCTATTCAAGTTTGATTCTGCGTAGCACAATTGTGCAAACTCAAGCTGGATACAAATCTATTTCGTTCCTTGGTGCTGACCGCTTTAATGTGCTTCCCGAATCCCGGCCTTCGCACAAATCATATCCCCGATTCATTTCGCCAGGAACTAACATGTTGCTTAACACATTCGCATTCATCTTGGGCACCCTGTAAGAAGACCTTAGGGTCCGTTGGGAATGCCCAAGTAAAATAATAAAATACAGTACAAAAAAACAACAATTGTTATGTACCAGTATCAGTACCAGTATCAGTAACCTACGTAGCAGTTGTAGTACGTGTCAGAACCAATACTCCAAGTAGCAGTGCTGCTGGCCAAAGACGTCAGACCTGTGAGCCGCAAGCAGCACTAGGGTTCATGCGGCCCTCGGATGGGCTTTGAACCGTGCATAATGTCATGGAAATGGAAATGCGACACTTTTGACTGGTGGTTTGGATTTCTGTGACTGCGGCTCTAATAGTGCTATTACTATTAGGATTACATCATTGCCAGGGCGGTAACCTGCTTGATGTTGAAATGGGGGGGGGGGGGGGGGGGGAGGCAGGGAGAGTTTGTGCATACTTGTGCTAATCTGCAATGCTGCATGTGTACACTGAGCTGCATCTCTTGAAGGTTTCTCCAGAAAGCAGTTGCTTGCCTGACATGCTTGAATAAAACATTCTCTCTCCCTCCCTCTCTCTCTCTCTCTCTCTCTCTCTCTCTCTCTCTCTCTCTCTCTCTCTCTCTCTCTCTCTCTCTCTCTCTCTCTCTCTCTCTCTCTCTCTCCCCCCCCTCTCTCTCTATCTCCCTTTCCTTCTTTCCCTCTCTCTCCTTTGCCTTTGCTATGGCCTCGGGACTGACAGGCTTTCACAGTATATTCCCAAAGGAAGGTGGCCAACTCGGTGTACGGCAAACAATCGGTCTAGTGGCACAGTACCTTACAACGCCGTCTTTCAATCCATTCAAGGTTAGTTTCTTGCTGGATTTTCATGTAGAGCAGGATTAATTTATACCAGAGGTGACAAAGTTCTGCCCCCCCCCCCCTCCCCCACACACGCATACAGATACACACCTTGCGGTTCGCAATGGAACACGATCGTTGACACTGAGTTGCGACGGTAACGAGCGATCTAACGTTCACAGAAAAAGTCAGCGATGCAACGTCACCTTGCTGGTGTGCCTCGAATTGCACTGCACGGGTGCACGACAACCTGACATTCGCCTATCTGAGTACAGTTCGTACAAATCTACCAGCAACTCTTGTACCTAGCGTTCGGCCTTTGCTGCGAAGAATGTCCAAATCGCCCATCGCATCCCTGAGCCAAGCACAACTTCTGAGATTAGATAGTTGGGACGTGAGCTGACCGATGGGTGCGACTTGGGGATTTCCTGGTTTACTAGTAATTCGTGGCTGTCACATCGCGCGTAGCGTCGCAAAAAATATGCTTCCGTGAATCCAACTTCACGTTTGAAAATACCTCTTACATCCTCCACGACAGTCCCTTACTCTTAGCTGCACACCATGAAGCTTGGTTCATAGTTCTTTTCGCTTACGGGAAAGGCGTTGTGTGGCGAGGAAAGAGCTGACTTGAGTTCAACGTGCTAGGCCCATTGCATCATGACTATTGCATCATGACTATGGCCATGCACATTGCTAAGGCCCTCTACAGACTACGTACATAGAACATCCAGTACAAAATCACATAAAACCTAAAAGGCAACATTTTTCCACGCCTGCTGCATTCAGACTACACATTTTACATGCAATATACAGGCAACCTTTGATCCTACACAATTGCGCAAGGGGCCTGGGATGCGTGAAAGCAGCCGGCAGTCGTACAAAGTTTGTACATTTGTACGATGGATGGTGAAAGTACGATAAATGCAGGAAAGTTGCCTTGTACAAGGGTTCGCACCCTGCCCGAAAGGATTGGGCAGCTTTTTAGGCTTCCCGCCAGATTCTTGTTGTTGTCGTGGAAACTTCTATGTAAATGTGACATAGGCTGTTTTGTACCTAGTCTGAAGAGGCCCTGTGCAATTGTGCAGGGTCAAAGGTTGCCTGTATGTTGCATGTAAAATGTGTAGTCTGTGCCAGTCTGTGCCTATCGTTCACTAATTCTTTTTGGGTGAATTATGAGTGTTTCAAGTGCGCCTTACACTCTGGAACAATACGGTAGTTGGGTGGCTTTTGCGTGTGTGTTCATGTGCCCGTTTGCATCCTTGACTCCGTGTGTGTGTGTGTGTGTGTTGCCAGCTAGTTCGGTTGGTGGGTACACTTATGCCTGATTGTGTTGGGTCTGTTGCCAACAGGCTTGGCTGCTCGACGGTGTATTGTTGTATCTGCCACCTTTGTTGGTTTCAGGGTTCGTATACTTTCTATTTGAAGTATACATACCTGTTAACCATGGACTGCTTCTGGCTAGATTAACTCTTGTGTAATCAATGGTGCTAGTGACGCTTAGATCAGATCCACTCTGATTTAGCCACCCACACTAGTAGCAAGTATTACCTTCACTGGGGGCAGGGGTAACTGCAGTTGGATCCCAGGACGGATACCTTGATGCCGTCAATCCTTTTTCTGCACCTTGTCCTCACCCACTTACTGAGGTGTGGTGAGCCCATAAGTGGGATCATTTCCAAGTCCACCCAGAGTTTTGGGGATTTCAGGGGGTGTCGGCCGTTGGGCGGTTCAATAGCCAGTTGAGTCATCTTTCCAAGATTCCTTTTTGAGTCTCTCTCCCCTCTCCCGGGGAGACCCACGTGACCAGTTTGGCAGTGAGCAACAAGTACAAGTGTGTGTGTGTGTGTGTGTGTGTGTGTGTGTGTGTGTGTGTGTGTGTGTGTTGTGTGCGTGTGTGTGCACGCATGCTCACACGTGTGCGTCTGTGTGCATGTGTATGTGTGCGTGTGTATGTGTATGTGTGGTGTATTTTCTTTCTTCTTTCTCTACACACTGCAGATGGTGGCCCAGAACAAAAGTGTGCTAGCGTTCAATCTCAGCTTTTTGTTCAACGAAATCGAAATTTTCCGCGAGGCCATGGACCAGGTGAGCTGTTTGGTGTGTTATCACTGCTACTGATACTGCTGCTGCTGGTGCTGCTACTGCTGGTGGCGGTGGTGCTGCTGCTGCTGCTACTGCTACTGCTGGTGGTGCTGCTGCTGCTGCTACTGCTGCTGGTGGTGGTGGTGCTGCTGCTGCTGCTTTTGCTGGTGCTGGTGGTGGGGGTGGTGGTGCTGCTGCTGTTGCTGCTGATGTTTCTGCTGCTGCAGCTGTTGCTGTTGCTGCTGTTGCCACCGCTGTTGCTGCTGCTGCGGCTGCCGATATTGCTGCTGTTGTCGCTTTTGTTGCTGCCACTGCCGTTGCTGCTGCTGCCGGTGTGGTTGAGTTCGTAGGGCGTAGAAGGCTACGAAGAGTCTCTACTCTCAGGGCGTTGGGTTCACTTTTGTCCAGTTTTAGTGAAATTCTTTTTTGGTGGGATTCAAGCCTCATAGCATGTTCTACCCCCACCCCCTGCCCCACCCCCACCCCTGCCCACTTTCCCGTGTAGCGATAAACCCTTCATTGTCCCGATACAGTGGGGATTATGCAGTGGAGATTAGCGGGCACGGTGACCTTACATGTAACAATGGGCCCAGTTTGATGTTTGTTTCCTAGATGTAGAAGTGTAATTAGTATTCTTCCTGAAGATCAGGCTTTGTCACCGGTCCAGTTTTGCTGACTGTCTGATCTCGCGGAGGAATGTCATTGTATCCGTTCTCTCCTGTGATGTAGGCATCCATTCTCCTTTAGTGATGTAGGCATCCTTTCTCCTTTAGTGATTGGGTATCCAGTCTCCCCTGTGATGTGCTGGACTTTGAATGTTGTGGTCCCTCACCACAACCCCCACACACACACGAAGCACAGTGCATCAGATCGAAAGTCCCGGATCATTGACTGTCCCGTTTAGCAGCCTGCAGGGCTGTGCACTTGTTCCGAGTTTTCGGAAATGCTCTGGTGTTTACGGGTCATTCCGACAAACCGACCGAAAACGATCTTTACTTACCCACTAGGATTGTTGACGAAGGTGCCCTAATCTGTTGTGCCAGGCTCTTCGAATCCTGAAAACGCTCTGGCTGGTAATGGGAGTGCTGCCTCCTTACCCCTCGACCCCCGGCCCGGGGGACACCCACGAACCCTTTCCAGACCTCTTCCGACAGAAACGTGGTAGCCGTGAGCTTGCCATGTTTTGGAGAGGCACTCACACCAGCGTATTTCTCAGCGTAACTGTACAGCTGGTGGTTGCGGACGTGCACGCGTTACACTACCTTTACTCACCAGCGATGTCATCATTATAATTATGTCTGTCCTGTCGTTATTGCTGCCGTCTTATTGTGTATGTCCCGACAGATACTGTCCTGGCTGGAGAATAAGGAGCTAAGAATACCCGCCATTGAAACTGTTCCTCTGGAAAACGTCGCTGAAGCCCATCGTCGCCTGGAGTCCGGACAGACTATCGGTAAACTCGTCCTGGTGACACCGCATCTTGACGAAGGCAAAGCCGAGGACAGTGCCTAAACTGGGTGCATTGATGGACTTTCGTGCGTGCGCCTGTGCCAATTTGCGCGTGTATGCTATATTTCTTTGGAGTTATCACCTGCAATTGCTGGGCGCATGCTCGCACGAGGCTTTCACTTGCCACGGGACGCAAAACTTGTTTTTTCGGGCACTCGCCCCCTGTGCACGCGTGCGAGTATGTGTGTGTGTGTGTGTGTGTGTGTGTGTGTGTGTGTGTGTGTGTGTGTGTGTGTGTGTGTGTGTGTGCGCGTGCGTGCACGCACACCAGCCCGTGTATGCTCAGCCTGCATGGTTGCCTCCGCGTGCCCGGAGAGAACTCTTCTACACAAGGGAACCAGTTGCTGCTACATGTATGAATACTGGACATGTTGCTACTCTCGGCATACGGCTCTGTTTAATTAAAGTCCCACCGCGACTTTGTTGTGGCACCGAGCAGTATGGATAGTGTTGCTTCACAGATCCCAGTGGCGGATATTTACAGCTAGCTTACTCTAAACTCGCTAAGAAATTTGTGGACATCGCACAGCTGCATTGTAGAAAGAAAAGGGGTTCGTCAACTGTCAACTGCTCTATTCAGTTGCTGTTCACTCAGATCTGCACTGAATTGAAAATCCCTACTCTAAACGGTTCGGGAATGAGTTTTATTTGCAATGCAATGCAACGCACCGGTTGAGCGTGACCCAGTGTTGCTTACGACTGTTTCTTATTGTTTTTTTATTTTTGATACTTGTAGTCCGTCCTTCATAGGCCGTCATAGGGTTTACCGGACACGATAATTTACTCTTACTTGAAGTAAAAAAAACCGTATAGGCCTGCTCTAACTAAGTTAGTATCTCCTATCTTGTTAGTAAGTGCCATCGGCTGGCCCTTTCCCATGCTCTCTGTGTACATGTACTGTTGCTATTCGGCTTGATCAGTCAAGTCATGCATTGCCTAGAAAATCCTTTACCAAGCCTGATTCTTATTTTATTATGTTTGTTCTACTGGAAAGTTTCGACATGAATTGTTAGGTTTCTGCCCTATATTCCATTGTCTATTTTCCGAAGACCTTATTTTTGGAACCCACGTTCTTACTTCTTGTCATACTGTCTCTTCATTAGGCCTAGCCCACATTTGCTGGCAATTCTTCCAGCAAAATATCTATGTAATTGCTGGCAAATTCTGAGCAAAATATTGAATTTATAGAGGATCCAGGTGTTGTTTGGGCAATTTTATTCTAATTTCTTTGGTTTCATTGGGCCTATTTCGTCCTGAAATAGCTCGTACATGTTGTCAGGGGTACATAAATTTGAAATCGTGCTACAAAATCCGTAATACTGACACCACTTGCAGTTTTGCTTTTCTCATCAGCCTCGGAGTCACCATCCACTTTTACCAAGTACATGTACATAGTAATGGTCCATATAACTAATCTCTCCGTGTATTATTACTGAAATAATTGTGGGCACAAGTTATGCCGTCGAGTCCACCGACTAAACCAGGTTTTATTACTGTTTTCTTTTGTTCTTTTTCTAAACTAACTTGACGGACATTAATATTTATGGTGCTGATGCATATACTTTTAAAATTAATATGGATTGCGCTTTTACCTGCGTGAATTGGGGAAGGGGGGGGGGGGCGAGCCCGTCGTCACACATGACTGATGACGCTGCGACCAAGAGTTGTCACGGTTTTAAATTTTGTCATAGCAGCCGGTGGTGGGCCAATTACATGTACAGTCATGTACATGTACCGGTGCACATAGCGAGGGTCCTGATTTGGCTTTCTTGGTTCTGCTGCTGCTGGAAGCAGTTCTGGGTCCAGAATGTGTAGTGCTCCAGTGCTAAGACTGGCAAGAGTTTTAAAGAACTAGTACTAAATTGATGACTCCGCGTAGAAACTTTGCCATCCCTGTTTGCCTTTCTTATGCACTCACATGTCCACTGAAATGTAATCGAGTAATTATTATTATTATTTAAATTTTGAATAGGGCAATCCCTACAGGCCTAAGATTATTATTACAATGAATGTGGCTTTGAACTACCGGGTAAGTACTTGAACTGTTACTTGAAATTGACATCTGCAAAGAAGACGAGATCTCGAGAGTATCTTGGAACATTCGGTCAACCTAATATAATTATCCATATAAAAATCGCTCTGTGAGCGGTTCTGAAAAACCTTTACTGGTACTGCCCCGTCGTAAAAGTAAGAAATTAGAACTGGCCCATTGTCCCCCCAAATGCGAACTGATCCACCTAAATCGCGAATGACGGGACCCGAACGCACCAGTAGCACGAGGTCGGGAGGGCACAGGATCACGGCAATTAGTAGTACAGTAGTAGTAGTAGTAGTAGAATTTATTATTTTGATAGGGAAGCCTACCGCTAGTACAGTACATGGCCTATGGTCCGGGCCAACGTCCCCATCTGCATCCACAGGTAGGAACCTCGTGCTACTGGTGCGTTCGGGTCCCGTCATTCGCGATTTAGGTGGATCAGTTCGCATTTGGGGGGACAATGGGCCAGTTCTAATTTCTTACTTTTACGACGGGGCAGTACCAGTAAAGGTTTTTCAGAACCGCTCACAGAGCGATTTTTATATGGATAATTTCAGCTCTTTTTCCGTTCCCTCCCCACCCCAACCCCGAAGGTAAACATGATGACCACGCGCGCGATGTACTGTATGTAGCCATGCGACTGCAATAATACACTGATACATACCAGCCCTCCCCGCTTCGCTACCCCGCACACAGATACACAAACATGTGTATGCACACGGCACACACACGTGGCCACGCACACATACACACATGCACACGACACAAACAGGAAATTCTTCATGTATAATGCCATGCAAAGCAGTGGCCACCGTACTTGAGGAAGTCAGTTGTGAAACAAAAATAATTCAACTACAGCGTGTAGACAAGCTGACGGGCAAAGCACAACATAGCAAACATGACATTTGCCCAAGGATTGCAGTTTGCAGACCATGCCATGGAAGCAGCGAATACAGAATGTAATATCATACAAAGTGACAAGCAAGGACGTGGCCATCATACACCAGAAACTTGCAGAAAGTCAAATATCCAACAGATAGAGAAGTGAACAGCAATCTGATACAGCCCACACAGGACAAAGCGGACCTGATACTCGTCCCAGGATCGCAAGTGGCAAACCCTTTTCAATGCATAACATGCAGATGTACGTTAGACGCATGAACATCTGACCGTGTCGCCAGCATACAATGTCAACACATGTTTACCCCACAAGTTACACACATGCACAGTAGAAGCACAATGAAAGCAATGGAAAAGTACGATGTGGTTGCTGAAGCATCTTCACACTTCAAATTCAGACTTCAATGTGGTCGTCACGGGATGATATACCTGCAAGATACAAGTGATGAAGAAAGAAAGCAGGAGGTCGTGAGGTAGGCTATGATACACCACAAACGGTTCACCTACATGTCTGTTCAGGGCTAGTGCACTCACACGGAGAATTGTCATAATCGAGCATTTCCCAAACTGAGAAGTGCAATGAAATTCACTTGCATGCACAGGAGCAATTTTGCAATAATTATTCCCGTAGCTATGCAGAAGACGTTACTTCAGTAACGTCTGGCGCTAGCCAGGGTCCACACAGCTTTAATTTGGTGTTTGTTTGTTTGTTTGTTTGTTTGTTTGTGTCACGGCTGGAGCTATCCCGTATCTGTCCCGTATCTGTCCCGTATCTGTGACTACAAAGGCTCTACAGGATTGTACATTACAGCTGTCCACAATATTTGCGGGCTCCTGTATCTGTCCCGTACCGTACCAATATTCGTCGTATTATGTATACGACTCCCTGATGTAGATGGAGATTTGGAAAGAAATAGGGAGACGAGGAGGAAATTAAATTAGAATAGACGCCGAATAGGTGATAGGATGCGTCAGCATAAACATACTTTGGAAGAGAGATCCCGTCGTCTCCAAAATAAGCGTGAACGAGCGATTCAGCGCCGGTCACAGGAAACGTCGGAAGAGAGATCCCGTCGACTCCAGAATGCCCGTGATCGGTAGAGTCCGCCGGTCCCAGGCAACATCAGGACAGACATCTCGTTGAGTCCAGAACGCCCGTGATCGGCAGAGTCTAAGCCGGTCCCAGGAAACGTCAGGACAGACATCCTGTCGAGTCCAGAACGCCCGTGATCGGCAGAGTCAGCGCCGGTCCCAGTAAACGTCAGGACAGACATCCCGTCGACGCGCAGAAAAACTATATCTGCAGCTTCCTTTGGCGTCGGACAGGATACGTATTTAAGGAGACTGTAAAGTTATGTAATGTCCAACTTTCGATGTGAGCAGCAGGTCACTCGCGTTGATTTTTCGACGTGCGAGCCAAATAACGCGAGCTGAACTTTCGCGTCGCAATCATCCCGTCGACGCGCAGAAAAACTAAATCTGCAGCCTCTTTTGTCGTCGGACAGGATACGTATTTTAGGAGACTGTAAAGTTATGTAATGTGCTCCACAGGCAACCATGCATTCGGCGTCGTCATTGGCTCAACAGGTCAATGTACAGTTGTGGCAAGTGAAATCCGACACTTGCCATAGGGGACAGCGCCTCAAATGGACATCAATGATGTAATGCACTGCACCTAATTTGTACTATAGAGCCGCATGCATCCCAAACAGGTCGAAAGGTCACAGCTTAGATACACACAGTTCACAAATATGGTACACATAAGGAGTATTGGTATCCAATTCCCATTCATTTTTGCCAGCACCTTTTGAACCTTGACTGTGATGAGTACGAATTCTGTCATCAGACAGATAAAGTTGTATGCAGCACATGTACTGTACGTAGATTCTATGCAGGGCTGCAGAGGCTGCAGGATGCACGGTGCAGTCCCTTATGCCAAGTGTCGGATTTCACTTGCCACAACTGTACATGTGTTACTACAAAAAGGCCAGAAAATCCGATTACTGTATTAAAATCAACTCATTTTCGCTGGCGATTTAATTTCGCTGATTTCGCCGCTTGGTACCAACCGGCCAAAGTAAATCGCAGGCCAAAGTTTGTCATAATTATGGGCAAATGATGCATGATTGAGCAATGGATGCATGTGAGAGCAAAAATACCGATCGATTTCAAATTTGACGTGAAATGTGGAAACGTTTTTGCAATACAGTGATGTGGCCAATCAACGGAAAAAGACATTTCCATCAGTTCTTAAAACATGTACGATGAGCTAGGCAAAAAAGCATAAAAGCATAGCGTAGGGCCCTGAGCTTCCAAGCTCTCTCGTTATGATGCGCAATTCGACACGATCTGCGATGCTGCGTGCGATGTGCCCTGCTGTCATGATAGTGACAGTCACCGCGGTATGTTTTGTCAACGTCGCCCGTGCACTCTTCTGTCAAGTCCAAAGTGCTCACATACTTGGCAATGTTTTTACAGTGATTAACTTTTATCCTAGTTATGTCACGGGTAACTTTAATGAAGTACCCGCAGGCCGTGTCGATCTGCACATCGTCCACTCTCTCATGTACTTGGCCTGCTTTGTCTGTGTATCCATTTCATGTGCGATCCACAAAATCGACTAGACAGTGGGTGCAATACGCTCTCTACCTGAAGACGTTCTTCTGGCGACATCTCGCCATGTATTTGGCCTGGCTTTGTCTGTGTATCCATTTCATGTTCGATCAACAAAATCTCAATGCACTACAGAGACTAGACAGTGGGTGCAATACGCTCTCTATCTGAGGACGTGAACCATTAAATTTTTTGGAAAAGTTATACGTACACCTGAAACGTAATGAAGTACAGGAATAGAGAGAGTGACTACAATACGCTCTCGACCTGATATAGTGATAACGTGAGTACAAGACACTCTCCACCTGATAACGTGTTAGAAGGTAACATGTCTACAGTCCCACCGTACCCTTCCGACACGACTGTGGACCATTAAATTTTTTTGAGAAGTATATACGTACACCTTAAACGTAATGAAGTACAGGAATAGAGAGAGTGACTACAATACGCTCTCGACCTGATAACGTGAGTACAAGACACTCTCCACCTGATAACGTGTTAGTAGAAGGTACTTCGAAGTAACAGGTCTACAGTCCCACCGTACCCTTCATCATTCCTCATTCACCATCGCGCGATACCCTGGCACACACTGGCAACATATCAATGGGGTGCCTTACCGTCGTCTAGAGGAGACGTCTTCGCAGCAATATTTTCCCTCCTGCGCATTCAGTCGCCGACGCGACAGCGTTCACGGGGCCGTTCCAGTTGCGGAAGACATTCGATTCATCGGGACAATTCAGAAACAGGGCCGTGGACACACAGGGGGCAGAGGAGAGACATTGTTAGTGGACAAGAAATATGCAGTGGCAAGTGGCGAGTGCCGCATGGGTGTCAAGTTGTCATGCACAATTCAGCTATTACTTACGGTCCAGCTAGTCCTGCCATTGCTCGCTCGTCCTGGCTCCTCCTCGTTCGTCTTCCTAGACGTCTGCACTTCTCCTTCCCCACCGTTGGCTTTGCGGTACGGGGTGCCGGAAGGAATTCCCACCATGTATCCATGTACATGAAGTCCCACCATGACTCTCCATGTACATGTCCACGGCCATGTCAGCAGTTTGTATAGTACCGGAAGGAGTTCCCACGATGTCTCCAAAGGCCTAGAGCGGACGTCTTTGCAGCAATTCTTTTCGCCCTGCGCATTCAGTTCGCCGACGATGTCTCCAAAGGCAAAGGCCAGGAGCCTACAAAAATGTAGTAGAGGGGACGTCTTTGCAGCAATTCTTTTCACCCTAGTACCCTGCACATTCACTCCGCCGACACGACAGCGTTTACGGGGCCGTTCCAGGTGCAAAAGGTCCACGTCAGCAGTTCTCAACTATTTCGCGTACGGGATAGTCGCCGCGACAGCGTTTAAGGGGTCGTTCCAGGTGCAAAAGGTATCCATCAATGGCACTTTGCAGTATGGGGTACGGAAAAGGGGCCTCCTCGTTCGACTTCGTCGACTTCTGCAGTTCTCCTTCCCGTCAGGGGTACCGAAAGGGGCCTCCTCGCAGTTGTCCTTGCCGTCAGGTCCACGTCATGCAGTTCTCAACTATTTCGCGTACGGGATAGTCGTCTTTGTCTTACGCGACATCGGCGTTTACCGAGTGGCATTGGCACAAAGCAGATCGTTGACGGGGTCACGTGTCAAAAAAGTATCAACAACGTGTCGGCTACGTGTCGACCACGTGTATAGCGGTACACTCAGCGGTACACTAATTCTCGTGCCATTCTCGTGTCACAAAACTGGAACATCGAGTACCAGTATGGAAAGGCTTCAGACAGGAAGCCTTTCCAATAAGCTTGCAAGTACTCGTACAGTGAGTTTTTTTGTAGCAAGACTGCAAAGACCTACAACCTAGTACTCGCAACCGTTACCGGTCCACCATAGCCTGTACTATTAGGGCGCGTTCAGACTACCGATAAAAAGTGACGGAATGGAAAAGTTGCCAAGGTGATTTGATCACGTGACGTTACTGGCACGTTACCGGCGGAAAAGTTTTACTGCCGCGGCTGCTGCGGCAGTAAACTTTTACCGGCAGTAAAAAAGTGCTCAGGCTGCATGCGCGCTGTGAAAAGGGAAAATCCCTTCTCAGCGCCGCGGTGAGAGGTGGAAAACGTACGTACCGGTAACGTTACTTTATCTGTAGTGTGAATGTCCTTCACGGTTTATCGGCATTCACGGTTTGACGGGGTTCACGGTAGTCTGAACGCGCCCTTACAGGCTATGGTGCACCGGTATCGCGGGATAGGTACCGGTTGCGAGTACGGTACGACGTCACCATGGTCACGCTTGTTCTTCCCTTGCCGATTGCGTCATTCCTCCATACATGAGGTCACTATAACCATACGCCGACGATCAATATACCGATCAGCAGCTGTGCGCAAAATCAAACTCAGAAGCTGGATGCTGGTGATCACAGTCTGACGTGCCAGATCAGTAGATTCTACACAGTCATGCTAGTCAGTGCATGGTGGGATGAAGTCAAGGAGGCTGCAGTCGTGAACAGGGGTGAAAGTCCTATGCAGCTGAAGCTTCATGGTGACTTTCCATTCATCCTTGGAAGATTTTTCCTCTTGTAGTTGGGAGTTGTCGTAGAGGCTCAGGAGCTGAGCCGTAGTTTTAGCTATGGCGTCCCTACAAGCAGATGCCTCTGACGAGATGACATCGCCTAGTGGAATGCGTTTTCGTGTGGAGGAGGTAGTGGAATCGCCACCAAAGGCTGGCAGTATCACGTCAGTGGGATCAAATCCCAGCTTGGATGGGGCACCAATGGCGAGTCTACAGTCCGAGACTCACAATAGAACGGTCGGTACGATTGGCTACTCCACGTCGGAGGCTGTGCCAATGACCATGTTCTACAGGAACCAGGACTCGAATGCGCCCAAGAAAACCAGACCAACACTTGCTGAACTGCATAACGACACTCAGGACGACGAGGTACTAGAATTTGTATTTCTTCATCAATTTTTATGTGCTCTCTTGGAGCAACGCAGAGCTTGTAAGCACCATTCAGTTCCTTATCTGCGCACGTCAGATTGCTATGCAAGTAATTCGAGCATTGTTCATGTCAGGACATGGACCACCTCAGAGAAAAATTTGAATTTGGGAAAATTAATTATTGACCTAGTAGTATTAATTAATGAGGACAATGATACATGTACATGACATTGTACTCTGCACTGTGTTGACCTGTGTCCCCTCCTCTCAGTGGGAGATCTGGATATTTTCGTTATCGAATTTGAATCCAGATTCAGATCGTGCCTACACTACAATGTAGTCGTTCGCAACAGATAAATAAGTGCCGTAGTCTGTTCTGTTCGAAAAGCTACGAGCTGCATTAGAGATGTCTTGTTTTATTGAGCTTGGCATGGTGACCATGGCGACCATGGCGCTGGCGTAGTGTACCTCGTGTGCCCCTCACTGCCCTGTGTAACAATAGGAAGGTTTCGCTCTACGGAATTACGTATGAAAATAACGTAGGAACTGCACGTAATTTTCATACGTAAAATCAGCGCTGTTGGGTTTCGCTCTACGTGATTTCTCCGCGACTGCTAAATATGCCTTGTTGCTTTGGAGACGCGTTGGCTGCATGCACCCACCACATGCACCGCGAACCGAAACCGTGTTTTCCATTTTACTTTGCACGTGATGTACGGTGTGCGTACCTTGTGTTTCGCGCGGCCTGAACGTTGCCATGGATAAATCCAGAAAATTCGAAAAATATTTCAAAAAGTCCTACGGAGAACCCAACGTAGGAAAGAGCTTTCCTACGGAAATCCGTAGAGAGATTTACGTATGAAAGTTGCCCTCGCTCCCCGGCGCGTACGCCATGCGGATTTTCATACGTAATTACGCAGAGGGAAACCTCCCTAGTGACACATGATGACATGAATTCATTGCATGCGCAATGCCAATGAGTTATTATTCATTTGCAGGAATTTGGCATGTCTGCTTCCGAAAAGAATACAGGCCCGTAGCAGCCCCATTTAGGTTGGTCCGGCAAGATCCGACTTTGATGCTCCCCCTCCCCCCCCCCCCCCCCCATACTCATACATATGCCGGTACACGTACATGACTTTATCTTGCCCGTAAAAGAGGCCGTTACCCCGCCAAAACAAAACAAAAAACATGTACAGTCAGACCTCGCTTATCCGGTCCTCTTCTATCCGGATCCCTCGCAATCCGGAGGAAAACAGCTGGTTACAGATTGACAGCATACGTGATGCATCCAACATAACCTGTGTTCGGTTATCCGGTTCCCTCGCCTATCCGGATATTTTTGTGGAAAACGGATGTGTGCGGTTAAGCCAGGTCTGACTGTACATACATTGTAAAATGTACATGTACATGCATGTAATCGTGACCATGTAGAGTGACATAGCTATATAGGGCGAGAAAAGGAAGAAGGACGTTCTGCATGAGTCAGGAAAAGGGCATCAGCATGTTGTGTCCGTCCAAACAGAACTTGTTGAAGCCTGTGAAGGTATAGCAACATTATCTAAATGCATGTGATAAAAGAACCAAAATGTACCTTTGGAGGAGGAGAAAGTGTATTGCAATGGACTATCTTTGGTACAAACCCTATCTAGAAAGAATTGGAGGAAGAAAAGAATCCGAACACGTTTCCGGAAGTACAGAGTAGGAACATTCACGGGCATGACTGTCCTCATGACCTTCAGCAGGGTCATATTCCTGATGACATGTGCAATGTAGGTCTACTACCGGCACCAAGAGTCCATAACTCTTGCCGGCACTACTATGTAATACCTCTATACTACTTATTGCACACATCATCATCATCATCATCATCATGGATGGACATCCTGAGCTGCTCACATGGGAGAGCTCCCCCTTTTTTTTTTTTTTCTTTTTTTTTTTGCCGAATATTGGTCCGGCAGCTGCCGGACCTGCCGGACCGCCTGCTACGGCCCTGGAATACAGTCGACTCCTGATATAACAAACACCATTTTGCAGGGGAATTAGTTCTTTGTAGCCGAAGTTCGTTATGGCAGAAATGCACTCACACTATACAAGCAGCAAGTCATGACTGGCAAGTGTGAGTGCACTTGGTTACATCAGGGAGTCGTACTCAAACTAGGGAGGTGACACGGCACAGAAATCCGTGTCACAGGGGTTGACTCGCACCCGTAACCCCTCGTTGTTATTTTTGGAATAGTTCAGTCCAGTCCGGTCCGAAAGGTCATACTCGGATCGACTCGCCTTCTGTACTTCACCTCCAAGCGTGCAACGCAAGACCCGCAAAGTATGATTTTTCTGTGGGGAACGATTTTGCCATTGATCAAGTTTTTATTGGAGTGCTCAGGCATACTACGATTGCTGAGACGTCCCGAGCACGCTTGTTCAGGTTCTCTACTTTTGACGAGCCGGTCCTACAGCCCCCTACATTGTATCTAACGACATAGGAGCTGACAATGTAAGAGGATTTCCCTGGATGATGGTGGTGTGACCATGGTGACTGCTGCAGGAAAAATGCTGGCTGTTTATGACAGTATGACTAGATGTACAATGTAGCTCTCTTGTATGGTACTTAACCCCTGCTATAAATGTGTTATTTAGAAAGACTGGTGTATTGTGCAAGTCATAAAGAAGAAATGGGGCAGATACACGTCTTACAATTTTCAAAAACCAGCTTTCTGTTATGTGCAATTTGGGTCAATTTTTAGTATTCGGATTAACCTAGGATACGACTCTGAACAGTTCTGAACAGTTACCGCAACACTACACGCCGTTTCATAACTGCTGCTGTTGCCATCACTGCTATCCAGTAGTTCGGACATGGCAGGAGCTAAACAAATTGCTGGTAGTCTTTCAAAGAATACTGGCGAGTGATGGGCTGTAAACGAAATGTGCTGCCTCAATAATTTCAAAAACTAGACACCCATGCGGCACGCTTGGAGGTGAAGTACAGAAGGCGAGTCGATCCGAGTATGACCTTTCGGACTGGACTGGACTGAACTATTCCAAAAATAACAACGAGGGGTCACGGGTGCGAGTCAACCCCTGTGACACGGATTTCTGTGCCGTGTCACCTCCCTAGTTTGAGTACGACTCCCTGGTTTACATGCAGCCCTACAAGATTTGGTTCGTTATAAACGAAAACTGTTCGCTACAATGGGTCAATTTTTTCATGGGTTCAAACATGGACAATAGGGCTTGAAAGTGATGACGTCAAAACGGCCAGGGAGTAGTAAGTTGACATCAGATTTCTATTTTTGGATCCACTAAGGTGTGACTTTGCTATTGCGTAAGTATGTGGGTGCATAGCAACCCACTCATGTCGCATGCAGGTGTGACTTTTATTTCGCCACCAGTTGTAACCCCGCCCCCAGTAGCCAAATCAGTCAGTTTCACTGGCTACATCACCATGCTGTGGGTAAGACCGCTTGAAATGTGCTTGGATCCAGTTTTTGAATTTTTGAAATTGTTGCTATGCTGTGACGTAGCACTTTCAAGCCCTATGGTTCGCTGTATCATGAAATTCGCTATAACGCGAGTTCGTTATAAGTAGAGTCAACTGTACAAACAGGGATTTAGGTTTGCAACGGCATGTACCAGTACTTCCGTGCACGAATGGATAAATGGGCCCAAACATCCGAATGTAAATGCTTGTCTGCGTAAAAGCACATAATCGAGTGTGAAGACAACGATCGCTCGATTTCAGCTAGCACCACACGGCTACTGTACTTGCACAAATTCCCCAGTTGATGCGCAATGACATGGGTACCGTATTTTCCGGAATATAAGCCGCACTTCGAACACTCAAAATTCACCCAAAAAGGGTCACCCTTCCAGGGAAGTCAGAATCTTCATACTCCTGGTGTCATGGGAATGTCTGTCTTTGTGTTGTTCTTTTTTCCTTTTTTCCTTCTCTCTCTCTCTCTCTCTCTCTCTCTCTCTCTCTCTCTCTCTCTCTCTCTCTCTCTCTCTCTCTCTCTCTCTCTCTCTCTCTCTCCTTTCTCTCATTTTCTCTGTTTGCATGGTCATTGTCTATACAGGTTGACGCCACCACGTGTTTGTTGGGTGATGGTATCCCGAACATTTCACAAGTCAACTCGGATACGGCTATCGACGCTGAAGCTACTGGTGGAGCAGCGGCACCACCGATGGTCGTCAAGTTCGGCTGGATAAAGGGTGTATTGGTAGGTGACTATCTTATTTTATTTTATTTTATTTTATTTCACCGTCCAATGGCAGAAGCCAATGCAAAGGAGGGGGCGTTAGCCAGCCATGGCAAGAGAAGAAAGAAGGAAAGAAGATGATAATCGGAAGAAAAGAATGCATCAGCGGGGTGAAATTTATCACTATGTTGACCATGGTGGAGCTTCATTCTTACTGCTGTACACTTTGGTGACTGTGCAAACTGATGTTGGCGGTGGTGGTGAGAAGGAGAGCTCTGTGCCAGTTTACAACTCTGTAGCTTACTCAATCTGCGTACAGAACTGTTTCATCCTTTGTGGACTCATCAGCGCAGCACAGAGAAAATTAGGCCGAACCTGATACCAACGAAAAATACAATTTCCAAAGCCAGATTTAAACCAGGCCCGGACGTACCTTGCCAGAGTGCTCAAGCTGACCAGTCAGTGAGCTCTGCATAAAGCAAACAGCAAAGTCTGTTGCTTAGATAGCTTGTGTGCGCAGGCGTGTATTAACCGTCATGTTGCCAGGTGAGTCTTGACTAGATATGGTTCAACCATCTTGGTGAATGCGTCGGGGAAATTTCCGGGTACCCCCCCCCCCCCCCCCTAGGTTGAATGGTTGTCCATGCATAGCTGTGGCTCTGTGCAATCCGATCCCTGACTTTGTGAACACACAACATTGGAACGTAACTGTATATCCAGCAGCTGTAATCCAGTTGATGCATAGCCTGGATAGGCCCAGACTTACTCATTTGTTTTTCGGGGTATTTAAATGTAGCCTCTCTTTCTATCTCTCTCTTCCTCTCTCTTTCTATCTCTCTCTTTCTCTCTCTGTTTTCTCCCTCTCTGTTCTCCCTCTCTTTCTCTCTGTCTCTGTCTCTCTCTGTCTCTCTGTCTCTCTCTCTCTCTCTCTCTCTCTCTCTCTCTCTCTCTCTCTCTCTCTCTCTCTCTCTCTCTCTCTCTCTCTCTCTCTCTCTCTCTCTCTCTCTCTCTCTCTTCTCTCTCTCTCTCTCTCTCTCTCTCTCTCTCTCTCTCTCTCTCTCTCTCTCTCTCTCTCTCTCTCTCCTCTCTCTCTCTCTCTCTCTCTCTCTCTCTCTCTCTCTCTCTCTCTCTCTCTCTCTCTCTGTGTCTCTCTCTGTCTCTCTCTGTCTCTCTCTGTCTCTCTGTCTCTCTGTCTCTCTCTCTCTCTCTCTCTCTCTCTCTCTCTCTCTCTCTCTCTCTCTCTCTCTCTCTCTCTCTCTCTCTCTCTCTCTCTCTCTCTCTCTCTTTCTTTCTCTCTCCCTCCCCTCCCCTTCTTCTTTCTGTCTTTCCCTTCCCTCTGGGTATATCTTTCAAGTGGCACATACGAATATCTCATTGTCAATCCTGTTGCTCTGTGTTACTGTACTTCAGATCCGATGCTTGCTGAACATCTGGGGTGTGATGTTGTTTCTGCGCCTGTCCTGGGTTGTGGGACAAGCTGGAATTGGTAAGAATATCATATGAGCAGTGAACACGCTTACCACATCCTCTCTAACCTAAGCAGGCTCCTACAGGAGCTTACTCTCTGCTGTAAGCATACCCTGTGTGTGCGTGTACCCTGTGTGTGTACCACTGTGTCTGCATTGAAGTGCTATTGGCTCCGTCTCCAGTACATGTACCAGTCTGGGGTACATATCGGGGAGCACGAGACGTTGAGAACAGCATAGAGAGGTTGTGCGCACACAATAGGGGCATGCATGCTTTGACATAGTATGCGCCGATGGCAATTGAAGTCCAACAGCTCCTGACTAGCAATATGCCGCAGAGCGATGTTCAGCGTACAGACCACTGTACTTGTAGCTGGTCCTGGTCATGATGTATGACAAGTCAACAAATATTCGGCGCATATTGATTTTCGGCTATTTTCGGCTATTTTTGGCCTGGGCATTTCTGGCCGAAATTTTGTTTTGCAATGTTCAGTGTGACAGTGTATACAAGCAACAAGTAAGTACAAGTACAGGCTGGCAGCAGCAATACAGGCCGACATTTTAAATGCGGTCGAAGTGTGCTTTAGCACTAGGATGCCGAAATTAATACGCGCCAAAAATGTGTAGACTTACAGTAGGTGTTGCTGGTGATGGTGACGGCGTACGTACAGTAGAACACCGATATCCGCACGTCAACTATGTGGATGATCGATTATCCGGATCGCTGGTCGGGCTGGACCAAAAATATGCAGCAGGTTTTTTTGAGGGTTTTCCTGATTTTCCCCACTCTGAGCACCATTCAAGCAATGCACAAGATATATTACAGCAGGTTGGAGTCAAGATGTATAACGATAGTGTCATTTTGAGGAGCTCCAGTGTGTCTAGTTCCTCTTGTACTGCCTCTGAGAATGAAAAATGATGAAAACATGCGGGATGTAAAAAAGAGAAGAAACACATGAGAACGAGGTATGCAGCAACTATCCACGACTGTAACAAGATGATAAACGGTCAGAAAGTGCGATAATAGGGCATAACACTGACAGGCTACTGAGACATTCAGCGACCCGAGATCTAGCTCTAACACATCTCCAGTGCGCAAACCTATATGCATGTTTTAGATAGATGTGTGACTGATCCCTTATCCGAACAATCTTCTCATCCGAACCCCTAGAGACAGCCCATGCCGCGAGGTGTGCGGATACTCCACACTCTACTGTAGTCCTCATCATGGTCATGGCCACGGTGTTGGTGTTGGCCTGATGGCCTGATGGCCTGATGGCCTGATGGCCTTTGCTGGTATAACGAGTATAACCACAGTTCTATCCACGGTGGTAACAGCAATACGC